CTGGACGCAGATGTGACACATTCTGGCTCTATCGTGGCTAAAGCATGAAAACATGAAACATGTCAGCAAAACTATATTGGAAAAGTGGCTGCTGAAGAAAGATGCTTTACTTTTAAAATGCCTCCAGAGGACATTCAAACCACAATGGAGACATGATGCAGCCACATCCAGTGGACATCCGCGTTAACACACTTCTTCCCTCTTGTATTTATCTTTGTATTTATCCTTAATTATCATATAACACGTCTCGGTCTTCGTGGGCTAAAACACGGCTTGTGTTTATAATAATAATAGTTTATTTGTACACCAACATTACACAGTGCTTTACAACGAACACATAAAACGTAACAATAAAATACACAGGAATGTATGAGTAAACAGGCATGACGAAGAACTTAAAAACAATGAATGATTAAAAACCATGAATAAAATGGCTACAGGCATGAGGAGCATAAAAAACAGAAAGCTGCTTCTCCATGTTTTGTTATTGTGAAGTAAAACTGCATGCAGCCGTGTCTAGAGGTCTAGGGTCTAGCAGGTTCATGCCTTTGAAGGAGGTCATTGATATAAATTGGTCCTAGCCCATTTGAGTGCCTTATAAACAAGCAACAAAACCTTAAACTTGACTCTTTCATTCACTGGAAGCCAGTGAAGTGATCTCAAAACTGGAGTGATGTGATCAAATTTTCTAGTCCTGGTTAAAACTCTAGCTGCAGCTGTTGTTGAGAGGCCTGTGAAAACGCTGTTACAACAATCCAGTCTACTAAAGATGAATGCATGTATGATTTTCTCAAGGTCCTCCTTGGACATGAGATTCTTGATTTTTGAGATATTTTTTAGGAGATAAGCTGTAATGGTTTTGATGTGGCTGTTAAAATTTAATTCTAAATCAATAACTATACAGAGGATCTCAGGCTGCGTAGAGGTTGGTAAGATAACTGCACTTCAGATACGTATTCTGGGGCCAGGCCACGTAGGGCTTTAAAAGTAACACGTAAAACCTTACAATCAATCCTAAAACAAATGGGCAGCCAGTGTAAGGTCATTAAAGTTGGAGTAATCTGTTCTCTGTTCCTGTTTTTTGTTTGCCGCAGTCAGCACAATTTGGAGTCTATTAATTGATTTCTGATTTATACCCATTTAAAGACCATTACACCATGAGGAGATAAAAGCATGAATAATAGTTTAGCCGTCACCTATTCTGGTAGGTATCCTAGTTGATAGCAGCATGGCTGGATGGTGTGCTTCTCAAAAAGTGAGGTTAGTGGCAAAGAGCACATCCAGGTCTCCTGACATTTTGGCTTAACATTAATTGACTGGGGACCAAGAGAGGCCTGGATGCTAGGATGCAGTTTGTCTAATCGTGAGGATCTCAGTTTTATATAGTTTTAATTTAAGCAAATTTGCTGACATCCATTTTTTATTTTATATCTACAAGGCAATTTGCAAGACTGGGGAGGTTTGGAGTCTTAAATCATCTCATGCTGGTTAATGAACAACATTTAGGGTTCCGCTAGTTATTTTGTAGCACACTAGAGCTAAAGTAAACTTATCTACGACCTTACATGTGTACCTTACCAAATGAGGACCTCTGCTGGATAACATAACAAACTACAAACTGCAGCATACCGGATGACTCATTAGGACTGACTCTTCCCTTTGATGTTTCAGGATGAAGGAGACAGAGAAAGCAAACGAGAAGAAACAAGACATGGCTCTGAACACGACTTCTGAAGGAGAAAAGAAAGAAGAGCCGTCACTGTCTCCTCAGACTGAGCCCTAGCTGATGGCAGCTTGTTCAGATGCTCGGAAATACGCTCTCTTCTTCCCTCCTGCCAATGATTTATATCACTGATCCGTGTCTCCCCACGGGCAAAACATGTTTTCAGTCATCAGTTACAAAAGGCAACAGGAGAAACCATTGGATATAGTAAAACTGGACAAATCACCTGCTGCCCCGATCACTTAACTGTTACTGTTGTTTTTTTTCTCCATCCAAATTCAGTGATCTTAGCAGTCTTGGTACCAGACATTTTTGCAGTTTGGACTTAAAAATGTCACTTTGCTGCCTCTGAGTCGTATGTTTGCTCCGGCAACACTTGGGATGCACGAGTGCTCATGTAAATACTTTATAGGATATATTTTACATCATTTGGCTGTTCTTTCAACTTTTTCATCCTGCCTTCAAACACAAGCACAATGCACTGTAAGAAATGTAAAAAACTTATGAAATGTTTACTCGCAAACTTCCTACCCAATGTAATATTATTATTTTCTTTTGCCCCAGGACTTGAGTATTGGACACAAATTTGGTATTAAACCACACAGCAGGTCCTTTTAAATGAATTAAAATCTATTATATAGGTCTTAAGGGATTTAAAGTGTTTAGTATAAATGGATGCTGTCCAAACAGTAACAGCTCTGAAGTCAATGTAGTTATATTTATGTACATGTTAATTCTATTGGAAAGAAATTATTTGTGGTGTCCTATTTCGCCTAGATTGATTTAATGCTGTATATAATGCGTCATCATGGGCGCCTCATAAAATAAAATCCTTGAATGGTAACCTCACCTGCTTTCATTTCTTCATTGTGTGTGTGACAGTATCTGGATCATGTTAGATGCAAAAGTCACCGCCTTATCCCTAAAACGTTTGGATGCATCCTCTACGGCTGCAAAAAACCCCAAACAACTAGGAAGAAGAACAACAAGAAGTTAACAGTCAACAGGCTGCGACAGATCACTCCAGTCTTTCAGAAACAAAGTTAAGTATGTTTGCACACCTGCTGCAGGGAAGGTAGTGCAGAGGAGGGGAATTTGATATTTGATAAATTAACACTACAAGCCCACAGTTGCAGTTTACATCAAGTATATAATTTAATGTAAACTAGTTTAATACCAAAATGAGTTGATTACTCCCTGAACTGATGCAGAAACCAGGATGTAGAGTACTTCACATGTTGTCTAAGTTTTTTTAAGAGTGGGAGCTACTGCATCAGTAATAACAAATTTACCTTCATCTCTATAGGCAGTGAATTTGGCACCTGCATTGTCAGAGATGTTACCAGAGTCAGGTACTGTATGTTGGTGGGATAGGTCTTTCACATGGACAGAGTGCAGAAACTCAGACTTTGAGGGAAAGTCTCAGTCCTGTAGCTGGATTTCAGGGAAAATCTAAATGAAGAAGGGAAGCACTCCTTTTACTATTCCTGCCCTATTGTTCTTATCACTATGTTTCCTTGTCTTATCTTCCTTATGTCCTATTGAACATATTTGTTATACTCTATTGTGATCCTTGTTCTTATATTCTGTATTTTACCCCCCTGTATCTTATTACCTACGTGGTTATTTGTTTTTGCATTTTATGTGTGATTTGTTGTGAAGCACTTTGTACTCTGTTTGATAAGTGCTATATAAAAGCTTATTATTTTAATTTAATATAAAGCTTATTATTATTATTATTTTGTCAACAGCCATTATGAAGTAACTGAATGAAATAACATGAGAGAGAAATTACAGAAAAGCACAAGGGAAAGAAAAACATAGGCTGTGATAAAATAATTCCACAATATTTGATCCTTCTCTGGCATCTCTCTGATGTATTTAACCTTCAATGCAAAACTCAAGGCATAACCTAATTTTAATATAACCCCCGTTTAACTAATAAAGACTGTGGGGACATTAAACAAAGCCTTTCATTTGTCCCAGAATCGTGATTAGCCTATCAAAATCTTGCATTGACTGGTTTGAGGAATACTAAATTAGGGCATGTCATTAATTGCATATTGAAAGACAAATCAGGCCAGCAGGAGGAAAAGACAGAAAAGATGTAATAAATGTTGTATAATTAACTTATTATGCATTTATATATTTATTCCTCACTTTAATGTGCGTTACTATTATTTTTTTAAATGTATTTAGTAAGGGATAAGATTTCTACTATTTCTACTCCAGAGGACTGATGGTTGTTTTCACATCACTGACGTCTGCATAGAGCGAACAAATGTAAATAGGGTTGGACAGACAGAGAAATCAGAAATGAGACAAGAGAATGAGGAAGCTCTCTATAGCTATTTTAATTATGAAAGCATTTTTTTCACATGTTTTTTAACACAGAAGCCTGCTGCACTACTTCTGAAAGTGGTGACTTTATGATGTCATTAAAGTCATTTTGCATTTATTTGCATTAAACATCATGTTAATGTTTGCTTAATAGAATCAATTATAAATGAGAGATAAGTTTCCCATATTTACTCAGATTAAACTGCCAACAGTATGTATGACTCTATATAAACTTTCAGTCAAATGTTGACGTTGATCACTTTATATTTTGGTCTTTTTAACTAAATCTCAAGCAATTTTAAGCGTCCTAATATTAGAGATTATAAATACAGAAGTAGTATAAGAGATGGATAACTGTAGATCTAACTAGAATTTAACATGATTGTGATCTCTCTATTTAGGCATATTTAGCAGACAATGGACTATATCAAGCTAAAGATCAAGTCTGTTCACTCCAATAAAACATAGACAGCGATATTAAAAGACAATCTTGTTGTCTGCTCCTGCTGCCTAATTCAATCAACTAGACCATTTCCTATCAGAATTACACTTTTGCAAGAATCAGTTCATTAATACACACCTTACATGTGAAGACATATCCCACAGTAATTTTTTTAAGCCCTAATGACCGACTGACCATTGGAAAACATACAAACAGTAGTGCTGGAGGCGGCACACAAACGTTCCTCTATCCCCATGAGAATATCTCCTTGACATAATGCATTCCCACCCCCTTAACCTAACCTTAACCATCTCTACCCACAGTGAAACAAGTCCCCATTGGTTAGTGTGCATTCAGGTTAAAAAATATGAAGCGCACACAACACACAGTGAGCATCCAAAAACAGCTCACTGTACCGTTAACAGGTATTTTTAGCTGTTACTGGATCATGTCTCACCGTGACCTCTGCTCTGAAGCACAACCATGTGGAAGGATTTCAGTAATGCACACACAGTTTAGGCCACTCCCACTTGCAGGAAGTGAGTGAAATGTGGAACTGCAACTGAAAGACAGGCTAAAGATCTTACATCTGGAGCCCTTAGGTCTCTTGTAGCTCACTCAACCTCCACTGCTGCCAAAACAAGGTAGGGAAGTTCTCAGCTGTCGTCTACATCCTCTTCTGGTTTCATGTTTTTTTTTAAAAACTACACAGACAGACAGCTATGGCTTTGTCAAAGCTCTTGTGAACATACTGTTTACTTTATAACGTGTCACTTATTTGGTAAAACAGATGAAGGAATGGTTAAAGACTGAAAAGTGCATTGTGTGTTCACACTGTTATAACTTTGTAGTCTTTGTTCCACTCTAGGACTGCTGGGTAATGGCTGCTCTCAGGGCTCTCGCGCTTGCCATCTGTCTCCTGTTGGGTCATCAAACCTTTGCCAAAAACGATGCTCCCTGCCAGCTCTCCAAATGGAACAACGGCTTCGACACCTTCGTCAAACGCCACATTCGTGCTGGTACTCCCACTTCTCTCAACAAGAACGAATGGGAGAATTACATCAGGGATAACGGGGGCTGTGACAGACCCACCCAGTCCTTTCTCAGTCCAAAAGACCTGGACAGGGTGAAGGATGTGTGTACGAACAAAGGGGGGAAGATATACAAGGAGAACCTGTGCATCAGCAAGCAGCCTTTCACTTTTGTCACGGTGAGGAGTGTAACGGGGACGTGCGGCATCAGGAGCGTTCAAAATGATACCAAATATCTGATCCTGGCCTGTGAAGTGCTGGGCAATCAGTGCCTGCCAGTCCATTTTGAAGGAAACCCTGATTATTCAAAGCCAAATAACAACGCCAGAGACTGCCAGGATCCTCAAACTGGAGATCATGCTCCCAACTTTAAAATGACGTGGCTCTGGGTGTTATCTGCTCTTCTTGTTGGCCTTTGTATTTATGGCTGTTAAATATATATTTTTTTTCATTTGAAAAACTAGATAAGATTCAATTAAGTTTTTATCAGAGGATATTTTGCCCTTTAGAGTCATCTCCTGAACACATTTGAACAAAACATTGACATTTCAATTGAAAAGTTTTAGATTTTCAGGAATAAATCTTAAATCACCAACACAACAAAAAAAAGTATTTTTGTAATAGACGTTTCCACTATTATATGCTTTGTGACTGTGTATCTGTGAGTGTGCTTTAAATAATTGTGCATGCACCTCTAAACGAAATGAAATGGCATGTCCTCATCTCTCACAGTTGCAGCTTGGGCATGGATGGCACAGAATGCTGAATTAATGTAATGTACTGTGTATGTATTTTACATTAAAAGGGAATTTAAAAAGAATTTAATAAATGTATTGTACGATTTAATAAACAGAACATTTGTCACATTCATACCAAGCTTTGGAATTCGTCTCCAGTCATACTTTTCAGTCATCATCATTTGACCACTGATGATAAGGTATGATATGTTCAGCTAAAATCCAAAATAGACAAACAGGTAATTTGTGAAGAGAAAATTGTCAAGTTGTCAGCTATAATCAATGTAAGGCAGATTTTCATACAACTGTTGCAACTGAAAACCCTTCTGCGCCCACTGAAACAATGGCAACGTTTCCAACAGTGATTCACATTTACAAACAGTGAGTGACTCAACCGAACATAAAAGGCTAAAAAGAGATAAGGGACATTCAACCTTAATTTATCAACCTTTATCATTCGTGTTCTGACAAGACTCCAAACCAAACCAAAACCAATATCATAAAAGAGGTATTGACTGTGAAACGTTTCTCAAAGATTGGAGTCCAGATCTACACACAGCCCTAATGTAGGCCTTTGCTTATTTAACAGTGATGGAAGTAAAAATAGCTTATTGAGCAGAGAAGACAGCCAAACGCATCTGAAATAATAGTGCATTTCACACACACACACACACACACACACAGACAGACACACACACTATTTATTAGCCTCAACATGCTTTCCACGCATGCTGAGACTGTCAGCAGATGACGGCAGTGACGCACACATTTGTTGTTTGTCAACTGAAAGAGGTCAAAGAAAAGGAAAGCCACTTTTCTATTATCTTAGAAGTTTTACATGGATGTGTCTGAACTGTGGATGTAGGCTGAAGTTGGTAAGGTGGGTTTGCTTTTTCATTATATTTTTTTATGATAAGAAAATATGGTGCCTTATTTGTTGAATCACGCGTATGGAGGGATGTTTTCTATCACTCTTTCTCACTCCCACACAGCTTCTTGTATGTCCATGCAGGAGACCTACATTGACTAATTCTCTGTTCCTTGAACCTGACGTTTAATCCTTTAATGTTTAACCTCTACCAGGGCTGGATTAACCCGCTGGGCACCCTATTTCTCCCATTTTCCGTCAGTCAGATAAGCCACACTCATATTATCAGGTCACAAAGGAGAAAGCTGGAGCCTTTTCTCCCTTTGGTAACAACAGTGAGTGAGTAAAGGGAAATGCAAAGTAATTGTATCTCCGTAACACAGCTTAACAATGCTATAAGCAATGAAGTTAATAATTATTAAAAGAAAGTTGATTTTATATGAAAACATTATTTGATGATGATTGATGAATGGGGATTATCTCATTGATATTGAACATGAATAAATTAAAATGGTCATTTGATTGTAAAAGAAGCAATATGGTCAAAGTAAGGAGATTAAGGGAAAAGGTTAATCATTGTGCAAAAAGTTGCTGAGTTTGGATAAAGACATCATGACCATGAGTCAGCAGCAGAGGCAGGGATGGAAAAGGAGAAATTTAAGGAGCAAACATTGACATATTCTGACCCCTTCACACACCGGCACATTCACCAACACACACACAATTACACCCAAAGACAACCCGAAGAGAGAATATATAAGGATAAGCAGAAGGCAGATCATGGTTATACCCTCGGCAGGCCCCCCCCGGGATGAGGAGCTCTGCAATTGGAATTGACCATCCCAAGAGCGACGCCGATTGCGACTGAAAACTTTAATCCAAGCATTTTAAGAAGAAATTGTACGCTGAAGTTTCTCTTGTTCTGCATCATGGACCGAAGACTTTTAGAGACAATTTGAGGGCTTTGGACAACGCCTCAAGTTTCTACAAGACTCCACAGCTCCGCAGAAGATGGAGAGATCTGCTGGCTCATTCCCCTCGCTCTCCAAACAGAAGATATCCAAATTACTCAAGCTCAGCTATTGTAATCAGGTTTTGAATGTTAGACATTGTATCATTTTAATCAGTATAATAGTTGTATGCTTGCCTATTCTTAATTTGCGCTATTTCAGAGGAACTGACATAGGAAGCAGAATAGACGTCTGGGCAAGACGCCCCCCCGTTCAAACCAAAGGACAACCCTAGTATGCAGAATTAACAAATTAGTTTTCACCAATGAATTGCAACACAGTGACCCTGAAGCCTTTGCCACCCCACAATGGTCTGGGGGCCCCGGGGCAGTTACCTGCTTTGCCTGGTTGTTAACTCAGCCTTGACCCCTTACCCTTTTCATGCTCTAAGTCCCAATACCCCTAAAAAGCTTGGGAACAACCGGAGGCCTGCACTCTGATAAACTGCTGTCACTAAGCAGGTCTCACAGTAAAATTGGTTCTCACAAAGACAGAAACACACAAACACAAATACACACACAGAGTTTTCCAACAGGTTTCTGGACAAACTTGCACGTCCTCTGACTGCACCTGGCCCTGCAGGGATTTGAGTGGGTCTAATCCGTGTGCAGTCACGCAAAGCTTCAAAACAGAAATAAACACGATAGTTTTATTGGTTACAGTAGGTCACCGTAGCTGCACATGCCCTGACATCTCCCAAATAAACAGAGCCAAGAAGTTCCACATTATCCAGGAGCAGTGACAATACCTCATTTACACCACTAGATGGCAGAAGAGTTACTTATTACTCCTACAGGAGTTCAAGGACTTGAAGCCTGAGCAACCGGATCTTTGATGTCACCTGTCCGTCTGTCCAACAGCGTTTTTTTCATTTTGTACTGCAAACATTGCATTACTGTGGTATGATTATCTGGTAACATTTCCCCACAGAGCCTCAGAAGAAATGCTGAAACCTGCCCGCCTGTTGTCTTAAAATGCTTTTACTGAGGCATTGAACCTGCCTGTCTATGCTTCAAAGCCGATTGTATTCCCAGTGCCCAGTGGAAATAACTCCTTTCTTAACTTCTTTTTGCTGCAGGATAGCAGCCTGCATTTGCAGCAAAAGAAGTGGCCACATATTTAAAATTCAACACAAAAAATGTTTGTTAAATTGTTTTTGGTGAACACGAGGCACCAGGCATCAACTGCACATGTGCATGAGCTAGTAGTTAGTGTCTACAGATGATCCTTTAGGATAGAAATGCAGCCCTGACTTTCCATTCTGCCACTTAGCATCATTTTACATCCTTTCCTTTTTTCTGCAGTTAACTTCTAAACTGCCTCATGATTCTGTTGCAGAGACTGAGAGGTGCAAGTGTTTTTAAGCTTATAATTCTGCTTTCCGATTAATTTTATTCTTTCCTTCCATTTTCTCACAGGCTGTTGGCAAAGTCATAGGATCACGGATCAGAAGACACAGTTAAACTAGATGTTCTTTTTCTGTTTTCTACCCAGAGGCCCCAGGGAATGGATATATCTGCTGAGTGCTATTCAAGACAATTAAAAAAACAATAAAACACATAAATATGTTACCGTTTCGTCAGGTAATTCTGGAGACTTTAGGGACCCACACAGGTCATATACAGTAACAGTGACCAGAGGCTGACCCCCAGTGAAGTATTTAACCATGCCCATTCCTAATCCATGACATCATTATAGTCAGTTACATGTGTATGAATGCACACATTCAGACACATACGCATCAACATGTATGCATGTACACTGTCTACTGAACGCACACGCTGACACACACAATCATGGCTGAGGAAAAGCAAACGCGAACAACAATCGTCGACTCGGGTCAAAGAGGAAAGGCTACAGGAGAATAAAAGAATGAGTGCAGAGTGAGAGGCGGTGTGAGGGTGGAGGGGCAGAGCAGTAGGATTCAAGGAGAAGGGAGGAGTAACACGATAAAAAAAACAGGGCTGCACTTTAATTGAACTTTTTGGGGGTTTTCAGAAAAACAAAACACATGGACATAAAATAAGGTGGAAAGCATGAGAACCAGCGCTTGTTTTTCTTCTCAGCTTTCCCTCATTCCACCTCTTCTCCCATCGTCTTTAGCTCGCTGCTCTTCACACAACCTTCCGTGCGAGGATCTCTATCTACTTCACTTCCTTTCTTTTCTCCTGTCTTCCTCTCAATCCTTCCCTTCTGTTGTCCTCCGTCTCCCAGTTCAGCGTAAAGCAATTCAGCATCATTCAGCACAATACAAAGCCGTTTACAGTGCTGTTGTCACGTAGCACCTCAGAGGGGCCCACGGGCTCATTAAACTGTAGGTGGCAGCAGCAGAGTGGACAAACTGCAAAAGCAGAGGGGACGCTTGGTAGAGGTGGACATTTGAATGAAGTGAATGGGACCAAAGTAAAAATAATGTTGATAAAATAAACTTAATTTTTTTTTTTTCTGGTTTGGATTCAGCACCTCTTCAGTGCCTCCTTTCCCAATTTAACCTCTCAGCTCTCCCTCTGTGCAGACCAACTCATAACAAATGAGCGCGATAATTAGAACCACAAAGACTTCTGAGGGGGAGGGAAGAGGGAAGGACAAAAGGAATAGAGTGTGAGTAATACAGGTTTCTGGGTGCAACTGCCCAGGCATCTGGAGGTTTAGTCTCAGCTCGACTCATGTCCACACACACACACACACACACACACACACACACACACACACACACACACACTCTCTCTCTCTCTCTCTCTGATATACTGATGCTTTAAATGCAGTGTAAGTAAGTGACAGGGTAAAGTGACGTCATGTGTGTGGGCAGGCCATTAAGTGATGATTGGTGTCTGACACTTTCTGTTCTGATTCCTGTAAGATCAGATTTTTCCAAAGAAGAACAATAAATGAGTAACAAATGTCCGGTAGAGGACGATTTTAACACACACACACACACACACACACACACACACACACACACACACACACACACACACACACAAAAGGGCTCACCGCAGACACATATTTCTGCTGACAAAGCAGAGGCATCCCGTATTTACAGCATCCACTCATGGCTGGCCTTGTATCTTGTAACAGAGAACTTTTTTCTTTTTTTAGGATTTTGGCAAGCATTACTGTACATGCACAATATCACAAACACACAAGGACACACTCGGTTCCTTATCTTTTCCTCTCTGCCCTTTGGTCTCCCTCATTCCCTGCTTCTCATTTCCACCTACGAAGTTAAATGCTGACATCTCCTCTGCTCTAATCAAACCCACATGGTTTGGTGGGGTCAGCGTGCCAGCAGCCCGCGCTGCTGCACACACTTTTGGCTGTGAATGAGGGTGTCACTGTGGCTGTTTTGTTGTGCAACTGGTGTGCATGTCACAGAGAGCAGCTAACTCTGTGTCTAGTGCTGTATATCTGCAGTCAGTGATTTCTGCATGTCAGACTGTCATTTTTAGAGGCAGGAGGAGGTAGAACTGTCCTGTATTTCACAAGTCAGGAGCAAGGATTAAAGAAAAGTACACAGAACAGTTTTTCTCCTCTTCCTGTCCAGTTAATCTCAACCCTTCAGATTTATTTTACGACCCCATGGGGAGGACCTAACCCCCCACTGACACAAAAGTTAATCACAAGAGAAAGATACTGTAATGGCATGTTTGTCTGCATGCATGTGCACATCATGCCCAGTGGCTTCCTCCGAGGGTAAAGGGCAGTGATAATGACTTCCAGGAGTTGGCGGTGGGGAAGGCCAGGGTCAAGTTCACATCTGGGATTACCAGGGCTGCTGGGATGAGCGTTATATTATTGGAGGTCATCTGGATGATAAAGTGGAGAATGCCACTGAAGTGTGACTTTATAACGGGCTAATCATGCACACTTTGACACCCACAATTTAAAACTTGTGCAGACAAGTTGCTCCTTTTCAAAAAATTGTGACTGCAACATGAACGTGACAAGGGCCACAACTGTAATAGGACACCACTATATACTAAACATACACTTGCATTAAGTGTAATGTGGTGCATGTAGTTTCCCATTCCACACCCGGATAAATGTTCCTTGGGACAATAAATAGTCTGTAGACAGCCTGGATGTTCCACAGAGATGGTTCACATCGGAGTCATTTGAATGAGAAGAGGAAATAGGAAACAATAAGCAGCAGAAGAGGAAGTGAGAGTTGAGATATTGTACCGTTCACCCCAGTGAGAGTGTTGATACAAGGCTCAGCCTGATTTGAAAGTAACAGTGGCCCACAAAACCGTAGAGAGACAGAGAGGGAGCGATATGGTCACTACTGCTACAACTGATTTCAGATTTCAGATTTCATGATTTTGGAAAACAATCTTTTTGTAGTTGTCAGTTTAAATTATAGTGACTGAACATTAACTTTACATATATGGATACAAGCATTTGAACTAGTAGCAATGATTATTTCATTGTCGATACGTCATTAAATCAGTGAAATGTCAGTCCAAGGTGACGTCTTTAAATTATTTGTTTAGTCCATCCAACAGTTTTCAAAGATTTTCAATTGCAATGATATAAAACAGAGAAAAGCAGAAACACCTCACAGTGAAGAAGCTGGAAACAGATTGCACTTTTTGCCTGATATAGGAATTCAGTGATTAATCAAAGTAGTTAGCGATTCACTTTCTGTTAATCAACTAATTCACCACTTTCAGCGCAATAAAATATAACTTCAGGTATCAGGATTTCCAAAAGAGAAACAGAAAATCATCAGCCTCTGTTCCTATTTCTATATTAATATATGCTGTTTATTTCTTTCTGGTTTGGTCTGCGGCATTTCTGCCGTGACCTCAGGATGATACGAGCCAAGCGTTATTGTAAACAAGTCACAGTACACTTTGTTTTGCTTGCACATGGTGCAGCCTGTGAATATCTGTGCTGGCAGTTGGTGATATCAGTTACGAACAATGGTTCTTGGTATGAGAGAGAACGCAGAAAGATGAAGATGACAGAACAGAAATGAACAGTATTACATGCGGATAATGTTTGGAAGGGAGCATGGAAATGAAGATGAGTGAAATAAAGTTGGCACCAGAGGAGCAAACTAATACTCCTCCAAAGACAGAGGAGTCTCTCTTTACATATCTGTCACCTTCATTCTTCCACCGTTTCTCAACTTCTCCATCTCTGTCACTGTCTGTTTGCCTTTGATCTCCTAGCTCTCTCTTCGCTGACTCACTCTCCCTATCGTTTACTCCACAACAATGAGATAACAAATGACCTGCACCTCTAGTCTCTAACTTTCTCACTAACTTTTCCCCCCTTTTCTTTCTTCTCCTTTCCATCCTCTCCCCTTCTCCCTCTCCTCAACGTGCTTGAGGAATGTGTCAGAGCAGCACAAAAGAACAAAAGCTTGACAGGAGGAGGAGGAAGAAAAGGAGAAGGGGGGGGGGGGGGGCAGTTCCATGAGGTAAAGGAGAGGCAGAAAGGAAAAGAGGAAATGCAGGGAAGGAATGAGCGGCGAGAGAAAGGTTGAGAGGAGCAGAGCACGGTTGAATGGATCTGAATGCCGAGCGGTGCTTTGTCATCACGTGCTGACATGCAGCATCACACACAGCTCTTTATCAAGCCCCATCTGAACAGCACGCACACAAGATGGGTGAGGCTGTCGTTGTGCTGTACTGCATGGCGGCCTGTTTGATTCACAGGCCTTGATGCATTTCTTGTTGTGTCATGGTAATATGCTAATGGCCTGCAGCGATGCTGAAGATGAATTTTCCCAACACTAGACAGCTCTCTATTGTAACCTTTGTGTTTGCATCAGTCACTTTCTAACCGGGGGCATGATCAGTTCCCTCTTTCTGAACAGACTGTGTTCGACAGACCACCATAGCAGCAGTGAGGCAGCCTTCATGCTGTGGTTTAATCTATATATATTTTTGTTTTAGATTTGGACTCAACTCACCTTCATATGGTGCTTTTCTACTTTACTGAAAGTGTTTTTTTATTTCAGTATTGCCAGAGCAAACTCTTAAAGAGATCAAAACTGCAAGTAAGCTGCAAAAAGTGAATGACAGGAAACAAAAAAGAGGGGATGGGAGATTGGAGAGGAAATTACAGCTCTGATATGGCTGTCTAATGGCTCATCTCTGTTGTTTGGACCAGGAGCAACTTGTGAGGACATGCTGTGATTGTGGCATGGTGTGTGGCCAATGAGGAACATGTGTTGTGTGTGTGTGTGTGTGTGTGTGTGCGCGGATGAAGGAAACAATGTGAGCGATCTTTGTTCACATCAGACAGAGCCGCTGGGCCTGATGCAAGGCCCTGGATTTGGACGCGGGTCTCTGCGTAAATGCGCGTATCGCGTTACCAAATATCAATCTGAGGCTGGTTTTCACCTTTGTTAGTCAGTGTGTCTTTGTTATAAGTCTGACAACTGAGCCAGTGTATTAGCTGGGTTGTGTAACGTGTTAGTCTACGGTTTGTTGGAGGACCCCACCCCCCCACCACCACCAAGGCACCCGGTTTACCTCACGCTAATTCGCCGTGCAGTGTAGCGGATGGGATCATCCATCAAGAGTCAATAGTTAACGTCGGCTTTGTCCCGTTGCCATCCATCATCAGCGCGTGCATGCCTGCGCGCGTACCTACAGCTTGTGTGTGAGTGTGCGTGCTCTTTATAGGACTGCCTCAGGCCCCGCGGGCCCCTGCCCCGCTGGTTCGTCTGACGCGCTGTTGCAAATGCCCCCGCGTCTCCTCCTCCTCTCTCCCCTTTCTTCAGTCTGCGCAGCGGGGGGCGAAAAGCTCTGAGGAGACGCCGCCGACTTGCGCCAATCCCACCTCTTATTTTAATTTCTGCCTCCTCTCACTCTCTGTGCCTCACTCATGGGTTCGGGGTGTTTTTTCCTCTGACGCAGGCCCCGTTAAAAGGATAGCCCACCAGTCCAGGCCAGAAGCTGTATCCCATTACCACCGCTTTTATTTTTATGACACAGCGCCGTGGCTCACAGGAGGCTGGCGGTGAACTTGGCCTCTCTGTGTCTCTCCTCAAAAACACACCCTCACATTCACAACAGCACTGCCATCCATAAAGTCTGCTAGTCTGGCAGTTGACTGGTTCTTCCTTCGCACCGCCCTGCCAAGACGACATGTTCTGTCAACAGACTGGCCTGGCTGACATCCTCCCTGTTTAGCACTAATAATGTTCACCGCATTGAAGCCATTCATTCAACCGTGCCATCACTGCCTGCATCACAAGTGGAAAAACACATCGTACACCTCAACATTTGATATAATATTAGGCTATATGAAGTCTGCAGAGGTTTCTATTGAGCGCACAGTGCCATCAGGGCGCGGCCACCTTGGCTGATTCAAGATACGCGCGTGGATGAGAGGCGTCTCCAAACGCTTGGTGCGTGAGCAGCTCTGAAGTGCACATGGAGCCTATAGGGGCGTGGTCAGGTCGAAGCACCGTGGACCTTTGCCTGCAATCTGTTGGACTGCGGGGCGTGACAGTATAGAAAGGGGCGTGTACATCCATACACAAGTATCGCTGCTTTCCGTGCCATTCATTTACAGCCGCGTATAACGTGGACCGGCACATAGGTAAGATAAGAGCTCTGACAGTCAGTCACTCATCCCTAAAAGAGGGCAGAAGTAACTGGACAGGCAGAGTCAAACCACCCGACGCGCCCCCACACCCATACCAGATTCAACAGTTGGAGCATTTTTTGGCAAAGACGCGCAGGGACAGCAGCGCACCGACCACACTTGGACCTGCCAGTTCACCTACATTAAACAACAAACTCCCTGCAGCCTAACATGGAGCGTAAGATCCCCGATTTCGCCGGCACCTGGGAGATGAAGAGTTCTGAAAACTTCGAGGAACTCTTGAAAGCGCTGGGTAAGTGATAGAAGTGATGATTAAAAAAAATCTTACCATGACCTAATGCGGCAGCTTGACTCATTTTTTGCGCAAGAGTGGTTTCTCATGAAGCCTTTATTTTTGTGCGTGATGACACAGATCCGACGTGTCAGCTCAAACTGTAGCTTTCGCAGCACATTATAGGTCAAATCTTCCTCTGTGTCCGTGCACCAGCGGGGATCGCACTCTGTACTGCGTAGGTGGGGGGTCTTTGTCATTCTGCAGAACCCAAAATTCAGTGCTTGGCCCCCAGCCAGTTTCACCCCTCTTACTCTCCTCTCCCCCTTTGTCCTCCCCTGCTAACACAATAGAGACAAACGGCGGCACATCTGTGTGTGTCACAGCCTCAGATTGTGTTGAAGAGGACCGTTATGGCACGATACAGTGCAGGACAGTCACGTCATTATCTGAAGTGACAGTCGGGGAATGAACAAACACCTGCTGCTGAGATTCACAGTTTTGTCATCACTGGTGCTTTTGGATTCAGGCGTCAGTGTGTGAGTGTGTGTGTGTGTGTGTGTGTGTGTGCGCGCCTCCTTAGTAGCCAACTCCAGTGCACACCTGGAATTCATATCATCACGTAAGCTAACATGGAGAGATAACTATGAGATGACTGCACCAAACAACGCCGCTTTTGATCTCTCACTTTCTCTTTCTCTCTCGCATATGGAGGTTATTGAAATAACTGTCAAATGGCACTATTGTTCTGGATAGACACCACTGGCCGGGAGCGCGAATTCTTTCCTGTAGACTGGCGCACCAATTAGCGTTTAATAGGTCTATAACTGCCTTTTAATATCCACCTCGTTCCGTGTGTGTGTCAGGCGGAAAGTGAGGTGGGAGCCTATAAAAAAGGGCAATAGGCCTATGATGATATAGAACCATGCGCAATAATGAGAGGATAAGCTCGTTCGTGCGCGTGTGCAAGAGTGCCAAATAGAGAGGAGGAGGATAATCTGTCATGTTTGAAATTTAATAAAGATCCTTAAAAAAAAATAGAGAGGAGGAGGAAATGCAACAGGAATGCAGGTTAAATTTCATGCCACACTGTTAGGCCTACTTGGTGCCACTGCCAATATTCTCTCTTTCTCCCTCACACACTCCGCACATATCCGGCAAATGCTCCTATAATGTCCCTCTGCATCGACATAACACAGAATGCAATGGCTCTTGGTTTCATGGGGGGGGGGGGGGGGGGGGGGGGGGGCAAAGCGCAGATGGGGGCAGCCTGTCAGCACCCAGCACCCTCCTCCTTCCCTCATTCCTCTCTTCCTTTCCTCACTCCTGCTGCCCTCATCTCCCCTTGTGCCAAATGCTTCCTCTGCCCTTTGACCTTTGACCCTGACCGTCTTTCTATCTGTGCGTGTGTGTGGCCAGGTCTGTGTGAATTCATGCATTTTGGTGACAGGTTTGCAAAAATCTGTTCAGGTAATTTCTAACTTCTAACAACTGGCTCCCAAATGGTCCACAGGCCAGCCCTTGAGTCAACAGACTGGAGAGACACAGAGGTCAGTTGGTGTCTGCAGGTGGGTTTGTTGCCTAAAGTAGGCTAATTCAGATGTTAAGGAAGGAGATTTTCTTTTTCTTAACAGAGTTATATTTTGAACTAAAGAGCTATAAAGGTGTGTTTGCAGTGATGTGCCATGTTAAACCCAACTACCAGTTTACCCACCTTTTAAGGTTGACATTATTTTATGTGATGTAATATACATATATTATGGGAAGTAGTAACAATGTATTACATTTTTTTATTTGTATTTTTTTTTATTTAGTTTATTTGTTTTTTGAGGCTAAATCCATACATTCGTTGATTTTGGATAATTTTTTAGCAACTGGATGTCACAGTTTGCAAATTCTAATATATTTAGAAACTGGAACAAGATAATGTTTGCTATTTTGTCCTTAATAAATGACTATTATCAACATTGGTGGAAATTCATTTTCTATCAATTAATCAACAGACCATTTCAGCACTACCCATATTTGCCACTACAGTATGCAGTGGTAGTGGAAGAAGTAGTCTTTATCTTCTTTACTTAAAAAAAGTTGCAATGCCACAGTGTGAAATACTGAATATGGTGGCGATGGAACAGTGGGTAAGACACATAACTTTGGTGTGGGAGATCTGGGTTCAGTTCTGCCTGTAACAACCACCAATGTGTCCCTGAGCAAGACACTTAACCCCTAATTTCTACAGAGGCTCTGTAATTCTTACTTATACACAGCATACATACACATATATATATATATATACATACATAGCACCCTGTACACTCTCTAATGTAAACCAGAAAAATACAATGCATCATATTTTGGATGTAAATTTTAACCTCAAGTGTCACTATAACAAAAACACAATGTAAATGTAGTGCAGTAAGAAGTACAATATTTACCCCTTGAAATATAGTACATTATTAGTATAAGGTAGCACATAATTGAAACAAGTACAGCAAAAATTGCACCTAAGTACAGTATTTGAGTATGTGTACTTACTTTCTGTAAGTACACATACTCAGTTTCTGTAAAACTGGTACCAAATATATGAAAACAAAGTGCAAACACAGAGACGACGACAATCCACATACACACTGCACTGTGTGTGTGTGGGCAGTACATACAGTGCGTACAGTCTGGACATCCTGATGCATGCTGAATGACTGTGCATTTCTGAGCGTGTATATATTTACCCTTGCTGACAGGTGGGAATGTGTGAGAGGTGAGAAGTGTGAAACCCAACTCGACGGCAGATACACACTGGACGACGGACACACACTTCCCCCTCACACTTGGACAGAGATCTTCACACACCACACACAGACCACTGCCCTTCGTCTGTCTGGTTCCCCCCACCTCCTCTCATCATCCTTCCCTCCACACTGGCCTGCTCCTTGTTCCCTCTCTTTTCCCACGCTGTATCATTAGTTTAACTGCAACACACTTTGAGTGTGCTATCTCTCTGTGGTTGTGGGAGGTAGAAGAGAGCAGAATAATGACGTTTACATTGCATAAAGTACAAAACACCATATTAGTCCATGTTTTTAGGCATAGGTGAGTGTGTATGCGCGTGTGTGCAATGATGATTAAGTGTTGGGGAATGCTTTGTCACATGACCTCACTGTTTCATCATCATTATTGGACAGAGCTGTGCAATGCTAGGCTAATCCTTTTATCCGGAGTGTGCAGGAGAACACTGAACAAGCAGCAACACCACACCACTCAAACACACACACACACACACACACACACACACACACACACACACACACACACACACACACATTCAAGGAAGCCACAGCAAGAGCAACTGTACTTATCTTTGTTTGTATTGACCTTTATATGAACCCCAAAACCCTTCTTGCATATACTCTTTCTAGTTTTGTCATTATCTCATTGTGTAGCGTGTGTGTGTGTTTTAGGTGTGAACATGATGCTGCGTATGATTGCGGTGAAGGCAGCCTCCAAGCCACTGGTGGAGATCACGCAGGACGGCGAGACGCTGTCCATTAAAACCTCAACCACAGTCCGCACCACCCACATCACTTTCACTGTGGGGAAGGAGTTCAATGAGGCCACGGTGGACGGACGTCCCTGCACAGTACGAAACGCACGGATGCAAACATATCCCTCTCTCACTTAAACTTTCTTGGCCAGTCCGCACACACTCACTCACACACACACACACACACACACACACACACACACACACATACACACACACACATACTGAAGACATGGGGGTTTTGGGAGGGAGCTATCCAGATTACATCAATCTGTTTAATTTGGCTTTTCATCATATTTGGACTGATAGCATATCTTTACCCCTCCCTTGGTCTCTGAAGGCCTATCGTGCTACACTACGCTCCTTCACACTATTTACGACCCCTTTCAACTTCCCTTCTTGCCCTTTCCTGCCCTTGGTCCCTCCTTAATTCTCCCGTTGCGCTCCCAATTTTCCCATAGTCTGTTTGGCCGTCTCCAAAGCAAACACATGCAACCAGACAGTGCTTTGTTCTAGTAACGATGAGAGCATCACAAGTTATAAGCTTTCAGTGATCGCCCTGCTCCACCTTTCTTATTCTGTCTCTCCATTGGCCGCTCTCTCTCCCTCATTATGTCCCTTTGCCTCTGAATGGCATAGTATACATCTGCGCATCCATTCATCTATATGTCCAACAATTTACATGATGTGGTCTAATGGTTTTTCTCTCTGTCCACAGAGTTTTCCACGTTGGGAAACCGACAGTAAGATCAGCTGTGAGCAGACTCTGCAGAAAGGAGAAGGGCCTAAGACATCCTGGACACGAGAGATCACCAATGATGGCAAGCTCATTCTGGTAAGACAGGGTTTAGATTTAGACGTTAACATTTTACTGTAGATTTCAGAGAACAAATTACAGTGTAAGATTGTTGTTCATATGGGTAACCAAATTCTTAACCGCATCTACCTGTACTGTTGTGGACACAAGTGACATGACTTGGGATTGAGTCAGTTACAAATCAACTTGACTTGGAATTGAATTACTCATGACTTAAATTGGACTTTTGCATTGCGAGTTCATTCTTGACTTGAAAATAGGTGTTTGAAAACAGAAAGGCCCACTTACAGCATATCACAGTCTTCATCAGCAGATCAGCAGATTGAGCAGTCAGTTGACATGGAGAGTTGTCGTCACATGACGTGCGAACTTGGTCAAATTATAATAGATGACAACTGAGCAAACTCCATGAGAAAAAGCTAGTGAGAGGACCTTGATTCAAGATTTTTTTTTCTAACTTACAAATTGTGCTTTTGTTTGTAGTAACGGACGATGTGCAGGCTACAGTATTTAACTGAACTTTGGCAGAATTGTGTTTTCAACATACTGAGCACTGTAGATGATAGCAGAGAAGAACAACAAAATAATACAGTCATTTGTAATTTGCTATAATCTAAAGTGTTGCCTTTAGATTACAATTATATAATTGTGCTTAAAGTACCACAATGTCAATATAATAATGTTTCTGGCATTAGATGAAAGAGCTTCTGTCGAGATTACAAATGCAAGTACACATGCTTGAAGTCATGAAAGTGAGAAAACAAAATCAAAATAGAACAGGGCGAGCTAATAATTATGATGTTGTGCAGTGAAGGTTGATAATGAAACATTAAAGGGTCAAGTATGATTTTTTTTGTCATTCTGAGTGGTTTGCAGTGTTTTGTTCTGCCCCTGACAGCTACCAAAACACTCTTCTGTGAATGATAAGGTGCTTGTTCCACAAACAGAACTGTATTTCATAAGAAACCCCACCCAGGTTGGCTAAAACATGAGCAGCGTGATAAGCATTTCAAATAATTAAATCAGCCCAAGTCTACCGGTAAACCAGTCCAACCAGGGATGACATCTTGCATCCTGCACAGTCCTCTCCGAAGTTAATGTGTTTTTGAATTGAACAAACTCTAAACAGAACATTTATTTATAGGGCAATGCTTAATTGAGGGTTGGTCCCTGATGTGCTCTTAAGCACCAAACTCACAACTGCCTTTTTAGAAGCCAGCAGGAATGTAACTGTGTCAGGGTTTTACACAGAGTTGCTGAGGACAACATATTTGCTTGAATATCTTTCCAAAAATGTTTGTTCAAAACATTTTGGCACAGTGAGCAGTTGGTCTTGACTGCTAGCTTAATTTGGTTGTTTAGAGAGAATTACATTAATGCCTTGTTCTACGAAATATTTTATATTTGAATTCACAAAAAACGTAGATAACAGTGCCAGTATATTTAAACATCACATTCTCCTCTCGTTTCAGACCATGACAGCAGACGATGTGATATGCACCAGAGTCTATGAACGACAATGAACAAGAGCACTTCTCACTTTTCGTCCTTCCAGCACCCCTCTCCTGCATCACCGCTTGCATCACTACTCCCCTTTGTTAAGGCAGCGCTGGGAGATAGCAGTCTATAGTTTTATTCCACAATCTCTGTTAGCTTCACTATGTAATAAGTGTGGTAATTGTATCTAGTATGTCACATATCTACAATGGTCTTAGCTTCTGAGTTATCTGTCTGCCTCTCCAGCTCCATCAAACGTGACCAGCTGGGTTTTAAACATGAAAATGTATGTTGCATTGTATGTGGTATTTGCTAAATGACAGCTCATTTATTTGGCATTGTGTGCGAGTGTGTGCGTGCGTGCGTGCGTGCGTGCATGTGTATGTGTGTGTGAGTTTGTGTGGCAGCAGACGAAGTGTGAGACTATATTTGTAGATGTGTAAACCAATCTTTGAGCTCTTCCAGTTTCAGGTCAGTTTTGATGTGTCCCTGCTCTCTGTTCCTTTAGCTCTGCCCATCTCACAATGATTTTATATTTATTACTACACTAGGAGTCAGATACAGTACTGTAAGTTTTTACTTTGTGTCTCTTTTATATGAAATGTGATCATAGGAAACAACACTTTCTATGGGAAACAATAAAGCACGATATTAACTCAGCCTGGTGTCGACTCGTTGGCCCTCCAGTACTGAAAACCATTAGGAGCGTAAAAGCATTTAACAGCACATATGTTTTATGGTTTGTGAGTGTAGCTGCAGTATATGTACACATTAGATGACTCCATCTTATTTTAGGCTTTCTGTCAGCTGTCTGCAACTAGAATAACTTGTCTGTCCCCTCCCTTTCACTCTCTCGTGCTCCCTCTCAGTTTTTTTGTCTTCCCATCCCGCCCTTCTCATTCTGTCAATCATTTCTCTGCCACATGCCCTCGTTATTCCTCCCTCACTATGCTTCAAGGCTGAAAATGTTTCCATATAACTTATTTTCTCTGTCTGCTCACTTTTATCACACATTGCATGAGGGTCGGCTCATCCTGAAATTTTCCCTGGCATGTGAAGCGACACACAGAGAGCTAGCTGTGGCAATGCCACTATTAGACTCTGCTCTTTTAGACTCTGTTTTATTTCCATTTCATTTGCCAATTGGTTGAATGTGGTCCATATTTCTCTGGAAAGTCTTTACAGGCTGCTTGACTTAAAATGAATGATTCAACATTATTTGGAAACACTGGGAACACTTATTTGCTGTCTTGACAGTTTGACAACCACTTTGACATCTGTAAGGTAAATCTGAAGCTAGAGCCAGCAGCTGGTTAGCTTAGCTTATGTCAAAAGACTAGAAACGGGGATACATCTAGCCTGACACACTCCGTGTAACAAAGGTAACAAAATTGGCATACTAGCTCCTCTAAAGCTAATTAATCTGCTATGTCATGTTTGTTTTAATTACAAAAACTTAAGTTTGCCGGGACTAACAGAAACAGTCCATTTCCTAACTTCCCCAAAATGATGAGCTGATGAAAACCAGCCTGTGGCTAACTCGGGTACATTTACATTTGCTTTGAATGTTAATCAGTGTACATTGTCTCCTTTTCAAATTGTCATTTTTTACACTTCAGTTTTTGTACAAAACAACAAACAACCGAGATACAACGTATCAGTTCGGGAATTTTGGAGGTCCTGGTAGGTGGATTTTTCTTCCTTTGTACAGAGCCAGGCTAGCTGTTTCCTCCTGTTCCAGTCTTTATGGTAAGCTAAGCTAACCGGCTGCTGGCTGCAGCTATGTATTCACTGCCATGACCACACAGACACTAGAATGGTATCAATCACCAGAATGCGAATAAGCATATTTCCCAAAATGTTGACCTATCCCTTTAAAAGTACAAATTTATGGAGCATCTGTTGTTATTGTAACCAAGGAGGGTGATCAGACAAAATGCGGTCAACCTGGGAACGTTTTGTGTCGGACACTGATCTTACCTGACAAATCATTGAATGGCCAGAGAGCGAGGGTCAGTGGGCGTGTCTCCAATGGCAGGAAATGCCAATTGGATTACAGGGTACAGCTGATTGACAGCAGATGTTCTTAACAAGGAGTGGGCTGTTAAGGGACCTGGAAATGAAAAAGGGTAAGAATGATGGATGACCCTGGGTTCACACTAACACACACACAGAGACACATACTTATTGTTATACAACAAGTAATAACTAGATAGGGAGGGATTCCTTAGAGAGGAATTTGGTGATGCTAAAACTGCTCTTTTATTTAATTATTTTTTTACAAACTGTCTCTTCTTTATTTCTCTTCTTGCCTTGCAGCTGTATGTAGTTACAGTGTGACCTCAATAAAGTCCCCTCCTCTGCCTCCTGCCCTAATAAAAGGGGTAAATAACTACCCCTCCCTCACTGTTTATTACCCCCTGGGGCAGTAAAAGGCAGCTGTCTGGCCCCCTTCAAAACACTCCCGCCCTGCACTGGACCCCGTAAACACACACACACACACACACACATTCTCATACCAAACTAAAAACACACATTCTGGGAACTCTTCACACATACCATCAAACACTCACACTGTACATGCATTACTTAAAACACTGTTGTGGCTCACCCAAATGGGGAACAGACAAATGGCCACGTCCACAAGAAACTGTGAAAACTCCTCTAAGACGTAACACCAACAAGAAGGTCTGAAAAGCAAGAACAAACTGAACACACCGTCTCTGCTGCTGGCATCCTGACTGCATCGTTATCTCTGCAGGTTGGTGGCTTTGCAGAAAACCATAACAAGGAACATAAGACAGTCTGGCAACATCCTAAACTCACTCCTACACAAAAAGAGTAAAAACACACACACACACACACACACACATACCCACAAAATAAAAAACACCTGTATGATGAATGAATATGCCTACGCATAACAAATGCACTACATCCATCAGAATTAAGTGGAAATCAGATACCTTTTTAACGTGTCTAACAATGTAACCATAGGCAAACTTTTGTGCTATTGACGCTTGTGCAAGAGCAGGTTAGCTTAGGTGCCCAGAGGCCACGGCGGAGCCAGGTTTTACAGATGACTTATGTGCAGGGAGGAGTGGAGTGTGTGTCTGCATACTTCAGAGGATGTCACAAAAGTCAAGATGGGTGATTTGTGATCTGATTGAAGCAATTATTGTCACATAGGTCAAGTGCATTCTGGGTTAGATAGTAAAGAAGTGGGAGGGCTCGCAGCAGAAATGCCCCGCAGGCTGAGTGGGAGAGCATGATTGGAAAAAAAATAGGCACAAGCCCCCATATCTTCGTCATAGTCTGTAATTGCACAAACACACATGAACTCATAGAAAAAGCATGCATGTCACAGTGCGATGACAGGTGAGTGTCATTAAACACTATACTGTACTGTCTCTGTCCAGGATATTGATTTACACCCACACACCTGAAAGCCTGCACAAACTGATACACACATCTAACAGACACACGCACCGTGGTAAAGTGCACCAATCTCCTGTGGCAAACGCAATTAGACCACCCAGGAACCTTTGAGGCCTCTTGTAAAACATTGGTCAAGAATAGTACACATGAGGGCATACCACACACACAGTGCTGCTCTTTCATCGTTACAGTCTGAATATTTACTGGAGAGAACGTACAAACAAGGAGTCACCAAAACCACACTGGGCTGCACAGTTTTCATTTTCATTTCTGTATGTGAACATAAGGAAATTAGGTTTTAAATATGACCTTGAATTATCTTAAAAATCCCTTATTTCTCTGTCAAGACGCAGAGGTAATAAACCACAGGAAAGATGTGAGAGAGTGGGGAAGGTATTCAGGACAGGTCATTGGGAGAAGTCTGGAAATCAAGAGTATATGGTTGGCACCTTTGCCCACTGAGCCACACAGCACACTCAAACCAAAAACATTCAAAAACTCTTCCCTTTAAGAATCCTTTCATTAGGAAAAATAAAATCAAGGAGAAATAGAGAGACATGGAGACGCTGAGTCAGAGACTAAAGGAGGGGCGAGGTATGCTCGAACGCTTCCTTTTAACTTCCTATTCTAATTTTATAAAAAGATGATTCATTCTTTTACACGCAAAGGGCCAAAGGTTTTTTATGTTCTTTGCTCAGACATCAACAGATCAACCGCCAGTTCGGTGGGGAGAATCCCCGAACTGATATCACTGGTCTTCCATGACCTTCATTATCCAAACCAGTGCTCCTACAGTATACCAGAGGTAGGCTGAATGAAGCCATTGTAGTGATAAAGAATGTAATGATAAATCTGATTACAGACTCTGACGGTGACCTCTGGATAGACAGAGAGAGACAATGAAAGATGGATGATGCAGTTTGAAGACAGATTAAGAGAAAGAGGGAGAGGGTGGGAGAAGTCAATTTAAGAATTCTCCTAAATGACGAAACTGACTCTGCGTTTTCAGATTCATATACTAACTCTATACAAACTTTATAATGTTCAGTTTTTGTTGACTCTGTCAAAAATGTGTACATTCATTTATATGTTTATTCCTGTGGTCATTCCTGTGAACCTTACAGGCATCATAAAAGTAGACTTTTATGGATTGAAGTTTGAATAGGTGTCCCTAATAAAGTGAAAAAAGAATTCACTGTACACATTCTCCTCACTATATATATATCTATCAGGAGCTGTTCTCTTTGTTTGTATATACTGTATATACAGTATCTCACACCTGAGACCTTGTAACACTAAACGAGTCACATGACACCGGGGAGGGAAAATGGACAAATAGGCCCAATTTGGACATTTTCACTTAGGGGTGTACACACTTTTGTTGCCAGCGGTTTAGACATTAATAACTGTGTGATGTGTTATTTTGAGGGGACAGCAAATTTACACTGTTACACAAGCTGTACACTCACTACTTAACATTGTAGCAAAGTTTAATTTCTTCAGTGTTGTCACATGAAAACATATAATCAAATATCTACAAAAATGTGAGGGGTGTACTCACTTTTGTGAGATACTGTATATCTCCTGTTTTTTGTTCACAAATCTTTGCTTGTCGAAGCTCTTGATGGTCAAAACATTGCATCATTTAATTTGGGGGGGCATGTAAACTGACCGAGAAGACTACCTCTCCTTTATCACTGCAGCAGTACACCCATTAGTGGTTGCATTTGGAACATCTCATTCCAAAACCATGGGCATATGCTGCTGTAACAGCCTCCACTCTTCTGGTTTTAGGCACATTTTGGGACAAAATGGCGGTTGATAAAGGCCTGGCTCACAGTCTGGGTTGCAGTTCATCCCACAAGTGTTGATAGGGGTTGATGTCAGGGCTCTGTGCAGGACGGTGAAGTTCTTCCACACCAAACACAGAAAACCATTTCTGCATGGACCTCGCTTTGTGCACAGGAACATTTTCATGCTGAAGCAAGAAAGCACCTTCCCCAACCTTTGCTAAATATTTGGAAGTACACTGTTGTCTAAAATTTAACTGTCTTCTGTACACAACTGTAGGTGAGCAGGTGTGTCCACGTACTTTGGTCATATAGTGTTGTAGCATGTACACATGCAACATAGGGTTTATATGTAGAAGGAGACAGCGAGCTAGTGGGATTGTGGAGAGAGGCGCCCAGGAGGATCATCAGGCGTTACAGGGTGATCAACT